CCAAGAGACCCAGCTGAGGTCACAACTCGGCAGGAAGGGAATGTGCCTGGAGTCCAACCATCTGCTCTAAACCCATTTGAGCCCTGGCTGGGTAGCTTCGTTGGCTAGAGTGTCACCCTGATAGGTTGTGGGTTCAATTCCCCATCAGGGCACATACAAGAAGCAGCCACAGAATGCAACAAATCAATCTCTCCTCTCTCTCTCTCTCTCTCCCTCTCTCTCGTAAAAGAGCTAAGAATTAAATAAATAAGCCGTTTGAGTTCAGCGCTTCGGGGCCTAGGAAGACCTCGCTCCGGGCCGCCTGGCCAAGTGCCACCCCCCGTGGGACTCGCAGGACAGCGGTGAGGAGCTGGTAATGCATCAGACAGACGTGGGGTTGGAACCCTGGCTCTGCCGCTGAGCAGCGGTGCGACCCCTCCCCCGCCGGGCGGAGCGCTTCACCCTCTGCAGCACCCACGTGGGATGATGGGAACTCGGACCCAAGCTCCAGGGGGGCAGGGCCCTCTCCTGCTCTGGTCACCACCGAGTCCCAGTGCCCGGAACAAGGCCGCACTCAGCCGCTGCTCAGGTGCGCTCGCCAAGGGACCAAATCAGCGACTCCACGAGTGAGCAAATGAACGGAATCAAAGACAAAGCCATTCTCCCGGGGCAGACGACCTCCAAGCCGAACCTGGACCCGACTCTCCAGCTAACCCCCCTCACAGATCCCTTACCGAGTGCCCACATGGACCCAATGCCCTCTGAGGGCGAAGGCTGTCATGAGTCCATTTTTGCCGACGAGGAAACTGAGGCTCAGAGAGGCCAGGACACGCCACGCTCACTCAGGCTCGGAGCCAGGGCCTGAATGTGAGCGGGCGGCTTTCCTGACCCCCTGCCTTGCTGATCTGCCGTCCACTCCCTCACTCCTCCCTTCGCTCATTCATCCACTCTGTCTATGTATTCGACGCCTCCGCTCTGTGCCAAGGGCAGACAGAGTGAGCCAGCCCCGGTCCCCACCTGAGGCCCCTTGGCCCCGTGCCCGCTGGGGTCTCCTCTGAGTCCATGCGGCCCATCGGGGGTGTTTGCTGGAAGTGCGAGCACATGTGCACACACACACACCACACACACACACACACACACACACACACACACACACACACACACACACACCACACACGAGGAGCTGTCCCAGGAGCGGTCAGCCCTCCTGGACAGCCGGGTGTAGCCCAGGCCACTCCACCCTCAGGAAAAGCAGGCGCCTGGTGAGACTGAGCAGCCCTTTGTGTGGGGCTGGCAGGGCGGGCGGCCGGGCGGCCGTTACTCACCACTGAAGAAAAAGAAGAGCATTCCCATTTGGTCAATGGCCCGCCTGTCACCCCCTCTTCTTGCCCCACCTCCTTCTGTGGCTTTTCCTGTCCCCTGAGCTCATCTGGGGCAGACTTGTGAGGGCCTCCTATGCCCCCAGCATGTGCTTTGTGATCCGCCCTCACCCATGAGGAAACCTGCTCAGAGAGGTGGGCGACTTCCTCAGGGTCACACAGCCAGCAGCGGCCAGGGCTCGGGGCAGAACGGAGAAGCCGGTGATCAGGAAGGGCTCAGAGGCAGGAAGGAAGTCAGAGTCACAATGGCAATAGGGGCCTGGCCTCCTGTCCTTGTGCCCACCAGTCAGGGTGCCAGCTCATGGGACCAATGACACCGAAGGCAGGGGGTGCCCTGGCTGGGGCAGGAGTGGCAGCTGGCATACCCCGAATACCCCGCACATTGGCAAAGCTCTGACTTCCAGCAAACCCCAGGTGGCAGCCCAAGAAACAGAGGTCACACAGCAGAGGGGCACAGCTGAGATGTGGCCCGAGGTGGGACAGACTCCAAGGGGGGTGAGTCCAAGGTGGCTTTCCAGGAAGGATGCTAAGCAAGTCACTGGGCTTTCAGGGACCCAAGGGGACCAGTCACTCTGCTCTGGCTTCCATTCCAGCTCTGCCAGGAGCCAGCAGGGCATCCCGGGCAAACTGCTTCTCTCTGAGTCCGCCTTCCTGCCCCCGCCACCTCCAGGGGAGGCGAGGCTATGACACCACCGACGCGAACATCGGGCACTAGACATTGGTTATAAATTAAACAGTCATTGGTGCGTTGAGGACAAAGCAGGCACTACCATCAGCCCCATTTTACAGATGAGGAAACAGAGGCCCCAGGAGAGAGGGAATTTACTGAGAGCCGGATCTGAACCAGGCAGCCGGGCTCCAGCTCTAGTTTTTAAGCATTAAATCAGGAAAGTAGGAAAGACAGCTTTGGCACGTAGTTGACGCTCGTAAATATTTCATGGGTGAAAGATATCGTCCTTTGTCTAAGCACAAGTCTAGATTTGCCCCTGCTAACTCCCACCCACCTGCCTGGCTCCCAGGAGCTCCCAGGGGGGCATCCTGGAACAGTCAAGGGCAGGATGAGGAAGGAGATGGTGTGTTAGAGCCCCATTGTGTGCCTTGACTGTCCTTGCAAAGTGGGCACTGAGAGTCCATTTGACAGATGAGGAAACTGAGGCTCAGAGAGGTCAGGTGACTTGCCTGAGCTCCCCGGGTGAGGGCGGAGCAGGCCCAGGGGTTGAGTCCACGTCTGTCTGGGCAGATCAGGTTCTTGTCTCTATACTACATCTTCTCAACAACTGTGGACCCAGACAAAGGGGACAGGCCACCTTGGAGACGGAGGGCATGGATTTTGAAATTAGACGAATGGAGTTCTGATCCCAGCTCTGCCCCTTCCCAGCTAAGAGAACCTGAGCAAGCAACGTCCCCGCTCAGACCTCAGTCCCTCCCTCTCCAAAGTGGGTATGGCCATAGTCTGTATCCAGGAGTGCTAAGGACATGTGGCTCAGCGCCTGACACATAGTAAGTGCTCAATGAACGCTCGCTCTCACCGTCAGGACCACGAACGCAGCCAGGCAGAACCTCGTACCCAGCGTTCAGAGCGGGTATCTCAAGAGATCTGAATTAATCTTTAACAGGAAATTCCTCTCCAAATTAGCGATGCGGAGCATTCCAGAGGGCCGGCTGGCATGAAACGTCCTCTGGCTCCCAGATCCTGTGTGACAAGACGCGGAGCTGTTCCCTGGGTGCCCAGGATCGGGAGGAACCTGAGTGTCTTTCCCAGCATCACCTGGGGGAGCCTGATGGCGGCCGCAGGCCAGTGGCCTGTGAGGGGAGATGCCCATTTCATGTGACTCCCTCCAGGAACAGACCGAGAAGCGCAAAAGACTCCCCGTCTCAGATGCTGTGCTCAGTCGCTCAGCTAGGCCACAGAGCACCCACTATGTGCCAGGCACCGCGTGCCAGCCCTGTGCGTTCCCTCCCTCCCTCCCCCATCTCCCTCCAGGGCATCCTCTCAGGCCCCACCTGGGCCTCACATCCCTTCCCTGGACAGTGTCCCCGGGGACCGGCCTCCCTGCCTGGCCCCACGCTGCAGCCAGGGGACCTTTCCAGACCACACGTCCAACCTGCCCCCCAGCCTGGGCATTAGGGCTCGCGGTCTGACCCAGACCCTGCCTCTCCGATCCCTCCCCCTTCCTGTTCACATCACACCCAGACAAACAGAACGATTTCTTGACTCTACAAGCCCAAGGTTTACTCACCTTACTCCATTTCTCTCTCTTTTTTTAAATATATTTTTATTGATTTCAGAGAGGAAGGGAGAGGGAGAGAGAGATAGAAACATCCATGATGAGAGAGAATCATTGATCGGCTGCCTCCTGCACGCCCCACACGGGGGATCGAGCCACAGCCCGGGCACGTGCCCTGACCGGAATCCAACCCTGACCTCCTGGCTCACAGGTCGACGCTGAGCCACGCCGGCCGGGCACCTTACTCCACTGCAAGATGCCGCCCCTGGTTTTAAACGTGAGCCTGACTGGCCATGAGTGCCATTTGCCACCTGTTTGGGACCCCCCTTCCCCCCCCCCTGCGCCAAATCACCAATAAGGTGGGAAGGAGGGTCCCTAGCTGTTCTGGCTCCCACTGATCCTCACACAGAAAGAGCTGCGGAAGGTGGGAACGGCCCGTTCCTTTCTCCACCCTTTTTATTAAGGTGTTTGTGGCAACAGCCGCCAGCACAGACACAAGGCGACGGGGCTCTGAGTGTGCCAGGCCCTGCCCGGGGCTCCCCACTGGCCACCCGCCTCACCCAGCCCTGGGTGGCCCTCAGGCCGCCCCCACGTGACAGGAGACACCAGGGGACCAGCTCAAGGTCGCCCAGCCGTGGGTGGCAGGGAGGCCCCCTTAACCTCGCCTGACCTCCCTGAGGGGCCCCCCTTCACCTTCCTCAGGAAGCAGCCGCTGAGCTGGACCCTGGGTGACCAGCTACCGTGCAGACCTGAGATCCTCTTCTCAGCCCCCAGGACCCAGCTCCTCGCCTGCCAGGACCCCGGGGCGCAGGCCCCGCCCGCCCGTCTTCAGAAGCTGGGCCAGAGCAGCCAGGGCCCGCCGCCGGTCCGGTCCGTCCCGGGGCCCGCAGGAGGCCGGTCCGGTCCGGTCCGTCCGGGGGCCCGCAGGAGGCCGCGGGAGCTGGCGGCCCGGGTTAGACGGCGCTTGGCCAGCCCTGACCTGAGCCTCAGCTTCCTCATCCACAGGATGGGCGCCCCGCCGGCGGCCCGTGGCCAGTGGGCAGCGCAGGTCCCTCCAGCCCGGCCCACGAGTCCCGGCGGGCTGGGGGCTGGGGGCTGGGGGCTGGGGTCGGGAGGGCGCCCTCCGGCCTCAGGAAGCAAGTGGCTCTGCGGCTCCAGCCTCCGCCCCGCGGCGCGGGGTCCAGCCCACGGGGGCCGCGGGTGGGCGGCGGGGCTTCCTGGACCCGGCCTCCCTCCGAGACCCGCCGCCCCGGCCCCCGTCGGCGCCCGCTTCCAGGGGGAGCGCGGATCCCGGGAGCGGCACCCGGAGCGGGACACCCGCGGGCCCGCGATCCCGGCCCCGGAGAAGCTGGGGCGCCCCGAGGGGCCCCGACCGCGCCGTCCTCCCCGTCCCGCCCGAGGGCTCGGCACTCACCTCCGGACCGCGCGGCGCCGGCGGCCGGGACACGGCGCTTCCTGAGTCCCGCGGCCCCGGCGCCCGCCCACCGCGGCGCCCCTCCTCCCTCCGCTCGGGTTACCGGCGCGCCGCCCCGTCCGCACCCGCCCCCCCGCCCCCCCGCACCCCTCCCGCCCCGGCCGCACCCCCTCCCGCCCCGTCCGCACCCGCCCCCCCGCACCCCTCCCGCCCCGGCCGCACCCCCTCCCGCCCCGTCCGCACCCGCCCCCCCGCACCCCCTCCCGCCCCGTCCGCACCCGCCCCCCCCCCGCATCCCCGCACCCCCTCCCGCCCCGGCCGCACCCGCCCCCCCGCACCCCCGCACCCCCGCACCCCCTCCCGCCCCGGCCGCACCCCCTCCCGCCCCGGCCGCACCCGCCCCCCCGCACCCCCGCACCCCCGCACCCCCTCCCGCCCCGGCCGCACCCCCTCCCGCCCCGGCCGCACCCGCCCCCCCGCACCCCCTCCCGCCCCGGCCGCACCCGCCCCCCCGCACCCCCGCACCCCCGCACCCCCTCCCGCCCCGGCCGCACCCCCTCCCGCCCCGGCCGCACCCGCCCCCCCGCACCCCCGCACCCCCGCACCCCCTCCCGCCCCGGCCGCACCCCCTCCCGCCCCGGCCGCACCCGCCCCCCCGCACCCCCTCCCGCCCCGGCCGCACCCGCCCCCCCGCACCCCCGCACCCCCTCCCGCCCCGGCCGCACCCCCTCCCGCACCCTCCCCCGCACCTCCTCCCGCCCCGTCCGCACCCACCCCACCCCCCCCCCCCCCCCCCCCCCCCGCACACCCTCCCGCACCCCCTCCCGCGGCCGTCGGAGCCCCCAGCTCTGCCGGGCGGGGCGGGCCTCAGTCTCCTCACCTAGAAAGCGGGCGCATGGCCCCCGGGCGGAGGGGCAGGCGCTTCTTGGAGCGGCGCTGGGGCACCTGAGCCTCCGGCTTCCCTCCGCCCCGCCCCGCCGGCCCTTCACAGGGCCATGAACCCGCTCCCGCTCCGTCACCCCTGCAGCCGCCCGTTCACAGGGCCATGAACCCGCTCCCGCTCCGTCACCCCTGCAGCCGGCCCTTCACAGGGCCATGAACCCGCTCCCGCTCCGTCACCCCTGCAGCCGCCCGTTCACAGGGCCATGAACCCGCTCCCGCTCCGTCACCCCTGCAGCCGCCCCTTCACAGGGCCATGAACCCGCTCCCGCTCCGCCACCCCTGCAGCCGCTCCGTCACCCCTGCAGCCGGCCCCTCACAGGGCCATGAACCCGCTCCCGCTCCGTCACCCCTGCAGCCGCCCGTTCACAGGGCCATGAACCCGCTCCCGCTCCGTCACCCCTGCAGCCGCCCCTTCACAGGGCCATGAACCCGCTCCCGCTCCGTCACCCCTGCAGCCGCCCGTTCACAGGGCCATGAACCCGCTCCCGCTCCGTCACCCCTGCAGCCGGCCCGTTCACAGGGCCATGAACCCGCTCCCGCTCCGTCACCCCTGCAGCCGGCCCGTTCACAGGGCCATGAACCCGCTCCCGCTCCGCCACCCCTGCAGCCGCCCGTTCACAGGGCCATGAACCCGCTCCCGCTCCGTCACCCCTGCAGCCGCCCGTTCACAGGGCCATGAACCCGCTCCCGCTCCGCCACCCCTGCAGCCGCCCGTTCACAGGGCCATGAACCCGCTCCCGCTCCGTCACCCCTGCAGCCGGCCCGTTCACAGGGCCATGAACCCGCTCCCGCTCCGTCACCCCTGCAGCCGGCCCGTTCACAGGGCCATGAACCCGCTCCCGCTCCGTCACCCCTGCAGCCGGCCCGTTCACAGGGCCATGAACCCGCTCCCGCTCCGTCACCCCTGCAGCCGCCCGTTCACAAAGCCATGAACCCGCTCCCGCTCCGTCACCCCTGCAGCCGCCCGTTCACAGGGCCATGAACCCGCTCCCGCTCCGCCACCCCTGCTGCCGCCCGTTCACAGGGCCGTGAACCCGCTCCCGCTCCGCCACCCCTGCAGCCGGCCCTTCACAGGGCCATGAACCCGCTCCCGCTCCGTCACCCCTGCAGCCGCCCGTTCACAGGGCCATGAACCCGCTCCCGCTCCGCCACCCCTGCAGCCGCCCGTTCACAGGGCCATGAACCCGCTCCCGCTCCGTCACCCCTGCAGCCGCCCGTTCACAGGGCCGTGAACCCGCTCCCGCTCCGGCACCCCTGCAGCCGCCCGTTCACAGGGCCATGAACCCGCTCCCGCTCCGCCACCCCTGCAGCCGCCCGTTCACAGGGCCGTGAACCCGCTCCCGCTCCGTCACCCCTGCAGCCGCCCGTTCACAGGGCCGTGAACCCGCTCCCGCTCCGCCACCCCTGCAGCCGCCCGTTCACAGGGCCGTGAACCCGCTCCCGCTCCGCCACCCCTGCAGCCGCCCCTTCACAGGGCCATGAACCCGCTCCCGCTCCGTCACCCCTGCAGCCGCCCGTTCACAGGGCCATGAACCCGCTCCCGCTCCGCCACCCCTGCAGCCGGCCCTTCACAGGGCCATGAACCCGCTCCCGCTCCGCCACCCCTGCAGCCGCCCCTTCACAGGGCCATGAACCCGCTCCCGCTCCGTCACCCCTGCAGCCGCCCCTTCACAGGGCCATGAACCCGCTCCCGCTCCGCCACCCCTGCAGCCGGCCCGTTCACAGGGCCATGAACCCGCTCCCGCCCCGCCCCCCCTGCAGCCGCCCCTTCACAGGGCCATGAACCCGCTCCCGCTCCGTCACCCCTGCAGCCGGCCCTTCACAGGGCCATGAACCCGCTCCCGCTCCGCCACCCCTGCAGCCGCCCCTTCACAGGGCCATGAACCCGCTCCCGCTCCGTCACCCCTGCAGCCGGCCCCTCACAGGGCCATGAACCCGCTCCCGCTCCGCCACCCCTGCAGCCGCCCGTTCACAGGGCCATGAACCCGATCCCGCTCCGTCACCCCTGCAGCCGCCCCTTCACAGGGCCATGAACCCGCTCCCGCTCCGCCACCCCTGCAGCCGCTCCGCCACCCCTGCAGCCGCCCGTTCACAGGGCCATGAACCCGCTCCCGCTCCGTCACCCCTGCAGCCGGCCCTTCACAGGGCCATGAACCCGCTCCCGCTCCGCCACCCCTGCAGCCGCCCGTTCACAAAGCCATGAACCCGCTCCCGCTCCGTCACCCCTGCAGCCGGCCCTTCACAGGGCCATGAACCCGCTCCCGCTCCGTCACCCCTGCAGCCGCCCGTTCACAGGGCCATGAACCCGCTCCCGCTCCGTCACCCCTGCAGCCGCTCCGTCACCCCTGCAGCCGGCCCTTCACAGGGCCGTGAACCCGCTCCCGCTCCGCCACCCCTGCAGCCGGCGGGGCGGGGGCGGCGAGGCCCCTCCGGGCTCCCAGAGGAGCTCCTCTCCCCTTCACCAGCGCTGAGCACCAGTGACGACGCCCTTATCAGGCGGAGGGTGATGCCCACCACGCACCCATCCTCTGCCCTGGCCACTTGCTTACTCGGCAGCTCAGGCAGCTCACTCCTGCCCCAGACTCAGTTGCCGTAGAGACGCAGCCCCGTGGAACAGGGCCGGCCCTTTTGTCACTTTTTTTTTTAATATTGATTTCAGAGAGGGAGGGAGAGATAAAAACATTGATTATGAGAGAGACTAATTGATCGGCTGCCTCCTGCACGCCCCACACTGGGGATGTGCCCTGACCCGAGATTGAACCCAGACCTCCTGGTTCATAGGTCGACGCTCAACCACGGAGCCACACCGGCCTGGCATCACTATTGCTTTTATTCCATTGCGCTGACACCCCCATGGGTAGGCCAGTGGCATTTTAGAACGGTTGGAAGGAAAGAGAGAACCAGAACAAAAGTGGTTCAAACCAGTCACCAGTGGGAGACGTTACAAAAAATAAACCTTAAAAATGAAGTCGCTGAGCTGCAGGGAGAGAGTCCAAGTGAACCTTCCTCCCAGCCAAGCTGAGGCAGGGATGCTGTGCCCACTTTACAGATGGAAAACTGAGGCTGGAGAGGATGTGGCCTCTCCAAACGTGCTCCCTCCTGAGGGGGTGGGGAGGAGACTCCTTCTCCCTCCGGACAGTAAACAGCACCCCCTGCTATCTAGCCATGAGGAATGCAAACAGAAGCCCCCTTGCCTCGCCCTCCTGACCTCTATGGACAGCCTAGATGCCGGAGGCCTTGGGGCTGGGCTGGGCTGGGCCAGGTTGGGAAGCGAGGAGTAATGGGCAGGACTAGTCTGGGCCCCTTTCTCAGAGAAGTCTGTCTCAACTGAAAAGAAAATGACAAGGGTGACCCCTCCCGGCTAACAGGAGGCTGATGGGGGGACTGGAGGAGATGGGGCTGGGGGTGATGCTCATTCTTCTCCAAGGTCAGGGAAATGCCCTGTGAGCCCTCACAGCCACCACAGCTCGTCCAACTCCTTCCTGACCCCATGTCACAGACTGGACCACTAAGGACCCCATGTGAGGACGTGACTCATCTCGGTCCAGGGGCCTCTGTTCCTGACGCCTGGGTTCAAACTGCCCTGCCGCTGAGGAGGTGAGAGCCTCTCCCTCTCCACGCCTCAGTCTCCTCATCTGGAAAATGGGTATCAGTTTTCAGGAAGCAAGGACCATAACTGCCTTGTTTGCAGCTACAGGACCAGCTCCTGGCACTTAATAGGTATTTTAAAAATACTGGCTGGTTGAGCTAGAGCAGTGGTTCTCAACCTTGGCTGCACATAAGAATCACCTGGGAATCTTTTTAAAATCCTGATTTCTGGACCTCATCCTCCAGAAATTCTGTTTCTTTGTTACTAATGTTGTGGCCCCACCCCATAACAAAGAAACAGAATTTCCAGAGGATGAGGCCCAGAAATCAGGATTTTAAAAAGATTCCCAGTTGATTCTAATGTGCAGCCAAGGTTGAGAACCACTGAGCTAGAGGGAGAGGGGAATAGAAAGTTATTGCTTAATGGGCACAAAGTTTGTTTTGCAAAATGAAAGCGTTAGGGAGATGGGTGGTGGTGATGTTTGCACAACAATGTGAATGTACTTAATGCCACTAACTGTTCACTTAACAATGGCTTCCGATGGCCAATTTTGATATGTGTGTTTTACCACAA